ACTACTCTCACAGTTCCCGTTAATTTTGAGTTCTTTGAGGGTAGATTCCATTCTTGGTTCAACTCTTTATCTTTTATAAGGACTACCTAATCTGTGCCTTTCACACAGTAGGCATTTACTGGAAAACTTGCTGTTGGTGTTGAGTTGTTTCAGTTGTATCTGACTCTTCATGACCACAGAAGAATGAAGTATTTATAGAAGATAATCTACACAAGAATCATTAGATTGTAGGCTTAGAGTTAGAAGGGACCTTAGAGGCTACTGAGTCCAATTTTCTCATTTTATATATAAAGAAACTGAGGCCCAGACAGGTAAAGTGACTTACTCAGGGTTACTCTGCTAATAAGCGTCTAAGATGAGATCTAAACCAAGGGTTATTGTGACTTCAGTGTTCTGTCCACTACCCCATGCTCCTCTCAAAGATAATTTGGGGGTAGTTACGAACATTTAATATTAAAACAACTTTACAAATTTCACTAGATTTTAGTGTCACAGTACAACAAACACCATTGCTATAACTCTTTAATGTTTATAAAAGTGCCCTAATGTTTATAAAATGCTTTCCCCACAACTCTGTGAGGTAGGTTGTACAACTATTATTTCCTTTCATAAAGTGGGGAAAATGAGACTGAGAAAGTACAAAAGCACTTGCCCATCACTGCATTAGTAGTAAGTAAAAGAACCGGGACTTTAAATTCAGCCCCTCTGATTCCAAATGCAGTCCTCTTTCTACAACACACTCTAATTCTTAGTCATAATGAGTATTCTTTGTTATAAAGAAAAGATTAAATTCATTAATACTCAGTTCAAAAATGCAAAGAAACAGATAAATTTTTAAGATGTCTATGCCAACTGATTTATAATAATGTTTGGATTCTTAAAGGAGTGAACCTGTAGCCATGAAGAAAACTCAACTACTCAGCACAGCTCATTCTCAGGGATTAAATGTGGCTGAAGGATTTTGTTTTGTTTTTTTGAGGGGTAGGGAGGGGAAAGTGGCAGAGAAATAGACTTTTCATTTAATCAATATAGGGAACTCTCATTGAGAAAACTCTTTTCCAAAGGAGATTAGTAACTGCTCTACAAATTATTGTCACAGAGACTTGCCTGAAGTACTAGGAAGTTGTAAGAATTGCCCAGGGTCACATGACCAGTTATGAATCAGAGAAAGTACTTGAATCCAAATTTTCCTTCAATCCACAATATCAGGCTGCCTCACTGAACATTTTTCCACAGGCAACTCTTTTTTCCACATGGAAAATCACTACTTTCCATTAAAAAAAAAAACCTCTTAGAAACAAAAAATCTAATGCTGCTCCTTGAAAAATTTTATCTACCTAAATTAGAAAAGGAGGAAACATGAACAAAATTTTAAAAAACTGTTCTAATTAAAAGACAGTTTGGATTTATCTTCTTTGCACACTACTTTTAAAGAAGGAAAGGCCTCTTTCATGTTGTGATAGCCCCACCTGCTGGAACTTTCATTTTTTGCCACAACTATCAGCATAAATCATTAGAGCAAAGAAGATGTATATTACCCCCTTCCTGAAAGGGAGGAGATGGACTCAAGATGAAAAATGGGGCATATATTGTTGGACATGACCAATGTGGGAACTTTTTCAAAAATTAACTATGTTTAGATTACAAACGTTTTTTGTTTTTTAAATGGAGGACAGGGAGGTGGAAATTAAAGACTTAATAGCTGAAAAAATAAAATTAACCAGATTTGTTAAAAAGCTACATGTATTTCAGTTCATAACAAATGCCACATGAAGAAATCCACATCTTCTCCAGTAACTTTAAGCATGTCCAAATATTTTTAGCTAGTATTCTATTAGCAAAATGGAACAATTAAATAGACCTGACATGCCCTATAAATAAAAAATGATAAATTAAAATCTCAATTAACATGGCAGCTACCTTGAATTTTTTTTGACTGTTGTTATTCCTGTCACCCCCAATACTCTATCTTTAAAAGTAACACTTAAAAAAAAAGGAAAACTTAAAAATTAGTAAAATCACAAAACTAAAAGGTAGTTTCAGGGGTCAATATCATTTGGCTCAAACTTTCAGGTAAAATATTTACTCATGATTACACTGATGATACATAATCATATATTTTTCATCAAGCATCAGCATACTTTGCTTATCAAGATAAGAAAACACTGCCTTAGAAACTTTGAAGCTTCTTATGATTTACATTTGACTAATAGTTACCTAAAATATGTCCTGAAGTCAATTATATTCACCAACTTTCCATTTCTCCTCCCCCACATTTCCATTTCTTATGTTTCAGTATATCAGCAGAAGCTATACATTCTTTGGTTTTCAGAATAAGAAACTGAAGATACACGTTTTTTGCCTATAAACAACTTAAGACTTTGAGGAAAGATAAAAAGCCTGATACTCTCAATGCTTTTCTTAATTTCCCAAGTTTTAAGGCATGACACCCAAGAACATGACTTTTCTGGATGATGATAATAATAGCTAGCATTTATGTAGTGCTTGAAGGTGTGCAAAGTACTTTACAAATATTATCACATATAGCATCACACAGCTAAGCTAGTTACATAGATAGGCAGGATTTAAACTCAGGTTTTCCTGACTCCAGGTCCACCATTCTATGCAATGAGCCACCAGCTGCCTTTAGAGGCAAACTCTAAGTAAGTACAAGAGGAAATACAATGGGGTAGAAAGAGTAAATGATATTTGAAGATGCCTAGGTCTGAATCTGAGCCCTGCTGTTGATGAGCTATGGGACCATGGGCAAGTCGTGTTACCTCTTGGGCCTTAATTTCATCATCTGCGAAATGGTAAAGCTGCACAAGATAGTGGGTGAGGCCTCTGTCTAGCCTAACCTTCTGCAATTCTGAGGGCATCATGCCAAACAAGGTAAAACTGAACATTATTCCCAGCCATTCTTTATCTCTGGCAATGGCATTAAGTGAAAGTTTACATTCAGGTATGCCCTCCCTAATTACCACTAATTGGTTTTTTGAAAATAGTATTTCACGTGAAATTATATTGCAAATGATATAATTATTTCTTAAATGGGAACTTCAATCCTAGACAGAAAAAATTGAAACTGTAAGCTTAACATCCTTAGAGAGAAGTGAAACTATAAGAGAGCATGCTAGGTAAAAGCTGCCTGAGTAAGCCAACAGAGCTGAAACATAGAGACCTAAAGCTCTTGAATTAGAGAGACCCCTGAGTTTGGTAATTAGTACCAGCAAAGAAGTACCACCAATACACAGTACTAGGTACCAGTAAAGAAGTCAAGATTTTATCTGGACGGTGATACACTGAGAAGTGAAGGATGGAAACAGGAAAAAAAAATGTAGATATAAATGGGGCTTTCTGATGGGCATTTGCAAAGACTAAGCTGGGGAGCTAAAGACTCTGAGAGAAATACTAAAATCCTCAATTATCTACCTAGAGAAAAAGACTCTCAGTTAAGTTTAGACATTGATTCTTAAAAAAAAAAAAAAGGGAAAGGTACGACCGAACTCCCAAAAAGAAACAATGCCCTAGTGTTAAGATGCAGAAGGAAAAGGAAAATTACTGAGAACTGTAACTTAAGGATTCATGAACTGACCTGCTTGTTCCCAATCCCTGATGCCTTTCATAAGACAGGAGAAAATGGGAAACCAATGGGATAATGACTTTAAATATGTATAAGCTGGGCTGAAACTTTTTAAAACCTCATTGCTTCTCTCTTCTCTTATTTTCCAGAAGTAAATAGTAGAAAAATTTCATTGATAATTTGTTGTCATAAACGCAGCTAATACTGATACTTATCTCTTACCAGTGCAAAGCTTAAAATCTCTCTGGGATAAATTTAAGTCAATAATCATTTATTAAGCACCTACTACATGCCAGACACATGCTAAGCTTTGGGGATTCAAAGAGAGACAGCCCTCACCAGAGGTACTTAGACTTCCTTGAACAAGAAGCTTATAGGCTGACATTGGAGACCACATGAAAGCAAATATATACAAACAAGAGAGATTCAAGGTAAACTGGAGATAATCCAAAAGTTATAGTTAAGGAGGACCAGGAAAGGCTTCTTGTAGAGGGTGGGACTTTACATGAAACTTGAAGCAAGCCAGGAATTCAAGATGAGGGAAGAAGCCTGGGGGCAGCCAGTGAACAAATAATAGAATAACTGAAGTGAAGAATAAAGATTCAAAGGGGGAACTTGGGTTGAGTGGGACTGATCTTTGGGGAAAAATTTTAGGACAGAATGTACACCTGCCAAATTACTTAGGCTGGTATAACTTTGTGCATGTAGTATCTCCTTTTGACATTATCTTCAAATGCATCCTTAACTCTCCTTTAGTCATTAAAGATCGATTAACCATAGATCTATATATTTTTCCTTGAACCTATTACTATTTTTAGCCTGCACAAACATTTTGTCATTATAGAGGACATATTTGCTAACAGCTACTTAAGGCAAGGTTTATTTGTCCTAAAAATAGCGGCTTCAAGGAATACCAAGAGGTATTATAAATCTAAGAAGATTTCAATTCATTACAACAAACACATTAAGCACCTACTATGTATAAGGCAGTATGCTATTTAGACAGATATAACACAGGCTATGCTTTCTAGGAAGATAATTAATGGGAGGGGCAAATACACAAATTGCAATAATATAAAGGAGAGTGTGAGAGTACAAAAGAGAAGTTCAGGCAATGTTCCATGGCAATTTGAGGAGAGAGATCACTTTTACCTCAGGATGTCAGAGAAGACTTCATGGAGAAGGTGGCATCTAATTTGAGCCTTGAAGTTCAATAGTCAGAACCTAGTGAACAAGTCCACATTTGCCCTATCAAAATTTTACGCGGTTTAATAAGATTCTTAAGGTTACGATTAGAATACACATAGGTAGTGATTTTTTAACGTCTTTACAATTTTAGGCTTAAGTATAACAATTATATTACATAATCATGTAACATCATGTACATTTGATAAAACTGTATATAGAAAAAAAATACCTTTTCTTCATTGGCTGTAAAGCAATCTGGATCTTTCCTTTTCTTTTTCCCTTTTTTATCTTTATTTTGTTGTGTGGTGGGAGTCTGGTAGGACTGCAAATCTACTCGAGAATGAAACTGATATCTACCACTTTCCACATCACAGTAGTAATAAATTCCAGTAGAAGGATCATAATATAGTTGATTTTCCTTTCAAAGGAAACAAGAAAGCAATAAGACCTATTAATGCAAAAAGTTAAAAATCTAATTCAAGGAACATTAAGTTTAACATAAATACCAATAAATGTTGAATATTGTATATCTTCATAGTTTTCTGAAATACTTTATATTATTAAATATGCTTTAAATTCATAGGTTATGCATGTCTCCTTTCATTAGCAAACCATGGGAAACTAAAACCATATAAAAGGTGGCCAGTAAGTAAAAAAACTACACAGTGCAATATATGTGCAATTCAGACAAGTACCCAACACACACACACACACACATACACACACATGCACGCACACCCAAAAGATGAATGTATGATTTCCAACTCTATAATTAGGTTACTCTAAATGATCACTTTGAAACTGCCAGGTACAACCTCTAAAAGCCTCAGATTCATAAAATACACAGCTATCTTTAATTGTAAAAACAAGTTAAGATGTACTTAGCAGATAATGATAAAATGAAGACTGTCAAAGTCTCCAGTAATTAAATAATTCAAGAAACTAATGAACAGCAGCCTTGATAAAATTTAATCTTTCTACAGTGAAAGCATTTAAAAACTGTACTCACACTAACAAAGCTGCATCTGAGTTTTGACAGATTATGGTTTAAAAGTAGAAAAATACAACCGAAAAATCTTTTGCATTGATTATACAACCAAAGAAAAGTAAGGCCAGATTGAAAATTCTATGGCTAATTTGTAGTATGAAGCCATACAGTCCCTGAAAACACTAATGAAAATTCTATGGTTAGTTTGTAGCATGAAGCCATACAGTCCCTGAAAACACTAATTTGCTGCATATTCAAGATTAAGATTGATTCTCAGCAACATGACCAACAAAAACTCAGTCTAAATTTGATTTAGCCTTGATCACACAACTATTTGAAGGAAATAATTAGTAATTTTCCTTTGTTCTTTGCTAAAAATTTATATCAGTATAAGGCAACACCTTGTCATTCAATCTAACGTATATTTACTTACTGAATCCCTTTTACACTGGGGCAGCTAGGTAGTGCAGTGGACAGAGCACTGGCCCTGGAGTCCGGAGGACCTGAGTTCCAATCTGATCTCAGACACTTGACACTAGCTACATGACCCTAGGCAAATCACTTAACCCCGACTGTCTGGCAAAAACCCCCAAAAAACACCCCCCCCAAAATGAGTAAAAAAATTAATAATATTCAAACAAAATAAACACTATTAAAAATAAGATTATTTGAAGCAGAGGTTTTCATTTTTCCTATTAATAGCTCAATGTTAACAATACATCTTTATTACATTTAGCATTTGTTTGACACATTCACAAAATATTGAATTTCTTCACCATATTTCTTTTGTATTATATTTATGGGGAAATATGGAAGTTAAAATTTGATGTCTGCATAGTTTCTGGCTTAGGGCGAAAAAAAACCCCAAAATTTATCTTATTACTGATGTGTATTTCTTCTACCTGTAGAGTCTGGGAAATGGAAATATTCTCTACTTGGTAAGGTTACAACTTAAAAAACAGATTTAACTTAACAAAATAATGCTGAGCCTCAAGTTCTGCACTGGCTACTTTGTGAACCAAATGACTTCAAAGTAATACATCTAGTAACTGAATCTCTTTAAAGTGATCTTCAGTTTCCTCATAACTGATATTATTAAAAGTTGCTGGAGGCTCTTCTCTTCTTGATGTATACATTTTCAGGTTTCTTTTTAAAAAGATGTTAGTATTCCGTAGTAGCTTTTCTACAGGTGACTAAAGTGAATAAAAATAGCCTATGACTCAAACCACTCCAGTTTTGCTGTCATAGTCACACAACTTTGTCAACTTGACATCTATAGATAACAAGTATTTTCCTTTCTACTTACAAAAAAGAGTCAGGAATAATTAATAATAAAATCAGAGACTCAGAATAGTGATAGTGTAGACCTGGTGTAAATATCACCTTCATTTTTACAGATTAAAAAAACTGAGCCTCTAAGAAACAACATGATTTGCCTGAAGTCAATGCTACTAAGCATCAATGCTAGCATTCAAACCTCTGTCTTCAAACTAATGCCAGTGCTATATCTACTACCCCATGTTAACTGAAAAACCCGGTATAGCCTCAAACCCTTAGCTGAAGGCTATGGAAAACTGAAAAAGCTCTGTAGTCAAGACTGAAGAGCTTCATTTCATTTTAAAAGGATATCTCAACATAAAATGTTATAATGGAACTAATAGCCTTATTAGAGCCTTTACTCAAGAATTAGGGGGAAAAAAAGTGCCAGGAAGGAGAGGGAAACACAAAGGAAGGCATCACTTTCATACATCAATTTGTGAGCATGTCAGCCAGTCATAAGTTCTTAAAGGTCCTACTAAGGTGGGAAGGCATTGTTTGGCCCAAGTGACAGGTTTTCATTCAAACACCATACAACGCCTGGCAGACAAAATCATCCCCCAAAGGTGAGCCAACAGATGATAAGCTATTTTTGACCACAGTGTCTAACAAAACTTGGCTACTAAGGTATGAAAAACTTATCATCTATATTAGTAGAAGAAATGCCCACACTGAAATACATATTATTAGTGTGGGGATTAGATTTAAACATGATTATTAAGATCAATAACAGTGTATAACAGCAGATTTTGAGACTTACTGAATCATAGTAGAATCCAGTGCTGTGATCATAATATAACCCAGTACTTTCATCATAACTAAATCCAGTCTGTGATACAGCAGCTTCTGCAGCAGCTCTCAAACTTTCAGCTAATGATGAACCATCTAACTCGGCATTTTCTGCTGCTAATACACCTTCTGCTTCCTAGGTAAGTGAACAGTGGGTGAAATGAGACAGGTTTCTTGGAGAACAGGTAAACATACACAGGCCTTGACCTAAGAAACTGATTAAAAACAATACGACTCAAGAAACAGATGAGAAAAGCTCTACTGAAGGTGACTCAAGACTTCAATGTTCCGTGATAAAGATTCCTTAAGGTATTCCATTCAAATCTGACCCAGTTTTGAAGAAGCTCCAAGTTAATATATGATAGTTACTGAATAACCAATGTTAAGCCACCACCAGTTAGACATCTTTTTTTTATTTCTCAGATCAACATCCAATTCATAGAAGCAGAACAGTAAATAATAGACTCTGATGGGAAAAAATAAATGGGACTATACTGCTACCTTCAAAAATGTATTTTTTGTTTCATGCTCAAAACTTCCTTGTTTTTTTTAACTTTTGGAAGCTATTTCCTTTATATTACCAAAAACTACTAAAGAAATGTGCATAAGAAAATACTTAAAACAGCTAATGTGATGTTATGCATTTGGTGACTGCACATCATAAATTTTTGTAGTATGACATACAGATAAAAAAACACACATCTATGGAAATTCTAGTTCTAGCTGTCCAAGGATTTATTATATTCTTTGATTTTATGTAGGATTATTTAAATACTAGTTTCATCTATTTCATAATGATGAAAATATCAGTTAGAACTGAACTTACATAATGGAAAAGTCAGGAAAAAAAAGGTACCAGGTAGTAAGAGTTTGAATTTAGCAAGTCTATTACCTGTGAATTGGAAGTAAAATTGTCTTCTTGCTCATATTTTGCATTTTCTGTTGTATCAGCGTCAGTGTGACCCTCACTCTCTCTACATAATGAGTCTGTAGAATTATGATTGGGCTCTTTGTGCTCTTGATTTTGTTCAAGTGGAAGTTCAACCCCCTTATCTGAAGGACTGACATTCCGATAGTATGTCTGATAATAATAATCTGTTAACAAAAGTAAAGTAAATTTTATCAGGCAGGTCATAAAGGACTTTATATTTTCATAGTATTTTTGTAATCAGTGAAGGACATTCAAAAAACAATGCTGTCAAATTATAACCACATTGATTCCTACCACCCATTTAACGTACTTTAAAAGCTTCCACAGAATGTTCAGACAAATTTTCAATAATAAATCTCTTTCCTGGAACCTCTAGTATCTTAGCTTTAAAACTTTTAAATAAGGGAACTGCCAGGGAAAGATGAAAAAAAAGAAATATTAAGTTAAACTATATAAATAATCCTGAGCAACTGCTAACTCTTTCTATAGAGCTTCCTTGCTATCACTCCTCACTACATGACAATAACTGGGTACAAGGGCTTGGTCTGCCCAACATGACAGTTTTGTATGGTGAAGCAGGAAGAGCAACACACTTGGAACTAGAAGAACCAGGCTTGAGTTCCAGCTTCTCTGCTCATCATTAGCTGCAAGCCCTAGGTATACAACACCTACCTCAGAGAGCTATTGGGGAAAAAAAAACACTTGGTAAACTAAACCGTAAGATTCTAGATAATTGTGAGCTCTTGGAACTGAAGCTCATACACCTACAGAGATGAACTTATAAGTTTACCAGTTCAGGCCAAATGGCATCCACAGTTAGGCAGACAAAACAGAGAGTTAGGGGAAAAAAAAATCACCGTGACTCAAATCAGTTAAGACTTAGACCACGAAGCTAATGAAGCCAAGATCACGGGCAGCATCCTATAAAAGTTCATTAGCTCTGCACTGAGTAAATACTCAGTACTACTCTGGGAATTTATAGCACTAATTTCAAATCAGTTACCTCAAAGATATGTGCCTTTTTGTTACATGAAGGCTCAGGTGAGAAGGTGGAGGGCTCAGATCCATCATTCATCACCACTACTAAAAACTTAATTCAAAATAATCCTCCTGGTAACATTCTGTCAGCAACACATTCCTACATGAAGCACATGCCAATCACTTTCATTCAGAGTTATCTGATTTTCTGTAGTCAACACACTGTACTGAACTGAACAACAGGACATTCTTCCAGATATTTAAGTGTTTATTTTAAATTAAAGAAAGACAACCTTAAGTTGGATTGATTCAAGTTAAAAGAGGCATTTCCTCATTGCATACTAAATACCTGATGTTGACCAAGGAGTATAGTCTTCTGTTTGGACTTCTACATCAGACTTGTTATTTTCTTTTTTTTTCCTATAATGGATTTCATTGCTGAGCTCTTCTACCTGAAAAAAAGCCAAAGGGTTATTAAAAATATATATAATTTTTACCCAATTACATACATTCTACAATGACTAACAGTATTACTGTTGGTAAAAGCTGTCAAGTTTGGGTTTGGTTTTTTTTAAAGTACACAGAAAGCAGTTAAGTCTCTTTTCTAAAACGTGACACTATCAATGAGTTTCTTTCATCCCATTTAATCCGAGGAACTAGATATAATCATTCTTAATATCTCCTGTATTAATTCTTACAGAAATCAGTAACTAACTGAAGGAGATAAAAAAACTCCCTAAATGGACTCTTCGTATCCAATGTATCAAATGGGTTATAAATATGATGCTAATATTAAAAAGGTTAGTAGTTCTCCATAGAGAATTATAAAACTAGGAAAATACAAATTTCTATCTATATTGTAATTAAATCTGTAATATTACTCGGTGCCCTTCAACCTTGACAATATGTACTTAATTAAATGCATTAATGCAGTTTAAATGCTTTTTTTGCACATATTTCTTAAAATAGCAGTTTTATGATTAAAAACCACTGCTCTGGAAGAAGGAAACTGTTAGCTACTGAGATATAGCTCTATACGTGCCTATGCCATTGGAGTCCTTGAAGGGACCCTAAGCATACCATTCTGATATCCAAGACATTTGACTGCAAGAAAAGCAAAAGTTGCTTTTTCAACATGCCATGGCCTGATGAAGCTTTAACAAAATAATGCTAGTTCACTCTAAGCCATATTCTCTTTGCTCTAATTGTCCATAGGTAGGCTATGATATATTATCTGGATAACCTCTGTGGCCACTGAAAATGGATGAAAAATTCAGAATCAATTCTTTATTACGTGCTAGTCTGAATTATTCATATATTGAGTACCTATTTCCTCCATCTGCTAGCTTTTGGCTAGTTCACATTTTTAGCAACTTACAATCAGAAAAACAGGGGCAGTAGGAAGAGGGCTGACATGAAAGACTAAAGTAACTTATGAGAGTATTTCTCCATTTCAATTATCCACGCCATCTCTTTCTCCTATGATTTCCATGATCAAGTATGTCTTAAAAACTTGGCAAAAACACTTCCTAATTATACTGGAATATATATGAAACCAACTTAGAACCACATACTTTAAAGATTATAACTTCTCTCTGAAGCTCCCCATCTTAGTTTGCTCCCTTTCTTCTCCCTATAGTTTTTGGTTTAGTGAACTGAAAAGGGCAACAATATAAACATTCTTAAGAAAACAATGACAAAGTGAAAGGGTAGTTCGGTGGCACAGGGGATAGAGTGAGTGCTAGGCCTGAAGTCAGGAGACCTGAATTCATATCTGGCCTGTTCTTCATTTGTAAAATGAGCTGGCAAAGGAAATGGCAAACCACTCCAGTAGCTCTGCCAAGAAAATCCCAAATGGGATCATAAAGAGTTGGACACAACTGAAAAGACTGAACAAGAACAGTCTGGAGGGAAGTGTACTAACAACTGGGCACAGAGATAGGAGATTTTGTATGGTCGTGAAAGTGTGGGAGGAAGAGCAGTGTCCAATGAGGCTAAAAGTCTAAATGGAAACCAGGTTGTAAAGGGCTTTAAAAGCTAAATTGAGGAGTATGTTTTATCACAGAACCAATAGGGAGCCACTGGAGTTTATCAAGCAAGGCTGCAACATGGTTAAACCCACCATGCTTTTAGAAAACCATTTTGGCAGCTGCATGCAGGATGAATCAGAGTAGGGAGAGACCAGAAGCAGGAGATCCATTAAAAGCTAGACAGAGGTGAAAGGAACTGATTGGACATCTAGGGTCAGAGAAAATAAGGATTCTAGGATAATGATGAGATTATGAACCTGGGAGATATGAAGCATGGTGTCGCCTTTGATAATGAGTTCTATTTTAGACATGATAGATGTGAGGCCTCTAGGATACCTAGTTTTAAAAGACTAATAGGCAATTGGTGATACAGGCTGAACACTCAGGAGACTTCAGAAACTTGAAAGAGATTTTGAAGTCAATTTTGAACTCAAAGGAGGTGATGAGGTGGGGGGAGAAAAGAGACAGGGAAGGAGGGAGAGTGGGAAGAGTAGAAAAAGAGAGAGAGAGAGAGAGAGAGGGGAAGGGAAAGAGAGTGAAAAAGACAGACACAGAAGAAGTGAGAAAGAGGGAAAGACAGAGAAGGGCCCAGGACAAAGACTCAGGGAACACTAAGAGCTAAGAGACGTGATACTGATGATGAACCAGCAAACAAGATTGAGAAGAAGCAATTAGATAGGAAGAGAACCAAGAGAATGTCATGGAAACCTAGGGAGAAGGAAGCGTAGAGAGAAGAAAGTGTTCATCAGTATCAAATGCAGCAGACAGCTCAAGAAGAAGACTGAAAAATGACTTGACAATTAAATGATATTGGTAACTTTCACAAGAGCAGGTTCAGTAGAGTGATTTAATTTGGAAGCCAGATTGAAAAGGGTTGAGGAATGACAGAAAAAAGCAGTAACAGATTACAAGTGCTGACAGTTTTTCCAAGGAGTTTGGCTGAGAAAGGGAAGAATGCTTCAGAACAGCTTGAGTTGATGATAGAATTTAATCATGGGTTTGTTTGCTTTTCCCCCAAAAGGGTGGTGGAAGATGGGCATTTCTGTGACCCCTAGAGAAGGAACCAGGAAAAAGGAAGAAGCTGAAGAGAGTGGATACCTCAGCAAGAAGGGCCACTTCATTCTGTCAGAAACTGGGGAAAGATGTGAAGTTGTTTTTAGATGAAAAGAAGGTGCTCATAGAAGATGTGGGAAAATTGGAACTAATATATTGTTGGTGGAGTTGTGAACTGATTCAACCATTCAGGAGGGCAATTTGGAACTATGTCCAAAAGGGCTATAATACTGTGCATACCCCTTGATTCAGCAAAATCACTACTAGGTCTGTATGCCAAAGCGATTATAAAAAAGGGAAAAGGATCCCCATGTACAAAAAATATTTATAGCAGCTCTTTCTGTGGTGGCAAAGAATTAGAAATTGAAGGGAAGCCCATTAGTTGGGGAATGGCTGAGCAAGTTGTGGTATACGAATGTAACTGAATACTACTGTTCCATAAGAAATGATGAGCAGGTGGATTTCAGTAAAACCTGGAAAGACTTACATGAACTGATGCTGAATGAAATAAGCAGAACCAGAACATTGTACACAGTAAGGGCAACACAGTTTGATGACCCACTTTGATAGACTTAGCTCTTCTCAGCAATGCAATGATCTAAGACACCTCCAAAAGACTCATCATGGAAAATGCTATCCACATCCAGAGAAAGAACTATGGAGTCTGAATGCAGAAAGCATACTATTTTCTCATTTTCCCCCCCTTTCTTGTGGTTTTTCCCTTTTGTTCTGATTCTTCTTTCACAATATGACTAATGTGGAAATTTTTTTTAAAAGGTGCTCATACTGAATGCTCTCATTTTTATTAGTAAAGCTGTGTTCCTCAAATGGATGAAGGTTGAGGAGGCATGAGGAAATATGGAATAGCTTCTGTAGGGAGTCAGTCAATTAACATTTATTAAGTGCCTACTAGATGCCATGCTCATGCTCAGTACTGGGGTTGCAAAAAAAGTCCCTACTCTCAAGAGCTGACAATTTAATAGATAAGGAATCAGTTAGAGAGGAATAATGGGATCGATACACTACAATGAAGGCCCAAATGAATTTAGATAGCATGAATTTATACTGAGCCCAGTCCTCATGGTTAATCCTTCCAGCTTTTTCAGCAGCATGTAAGTAGGAGATGGATGGTGGGAGTAGTCCAGGGTCAAGGTCTGGTAAGGGATGAACAGTGACAGGGTGGGTTGGATTTTGAAAACAGAGGACACTGTGGCTAAGTATAAGGGCCAGATTAGAAAGGATGAAAAGTGAAGTCAGAGGTGGGAATAAGGGCCTGAGAAAGTACTTGAAGGGTGGAGGTTCTCATATGAGCCAAAAATATTTGTTAAGGAGGCAGAGACACAGGGAGAGATACAATGGGTCACAGTTAGCTACAAATTCACAAAAACATGTAAATTTCAGCTGATTCAAATGTTTCCATGTCCTCAACTCAACAATGTTACCTTACGATTTGCTGTATTAAGTAAAATATATTCGAGGTTGGTAAAAAGTCAAACAATAAATTTGAGGGTTAATTGCATATGCTGTGTGCTTTACTTTACAAATAACTTCAATCTTAAGATTACCCAAAAATCATGATAGAATTTAAGACCTGAAGCTACCTAGGATACCAGCTTGCCCAACCCTGTCATTTTATAGATAAGGAAAATGTAGCCCTGCACTTTTCCTATCTAAATATTTTGCCAAGATTATCACTTTTGACTGGACCAAAAAGAGTCAAGTGTGGTGTTCGGCAATTAAGACTCCAGCGACACAAAACTGACTACTTGGAAGTAAATAGCACCGTCTCCTTAAAATATGTGAATATTTAAAGACTAACTTTGACTTAACTAAAATTGTTACTTATATTCAAATGGCTTGAAAAGGAAGAACGAGAGGTAGCAAGACACTCAAGAGTGTCTTGAATATAAATTGCCTGCTTTGAAAAACAAAACTAAATTTTGCCTTGGGTTAAAAGTGAATATCACTGTAGCACAAGCGCTCCTCGTTATAACTGCTATTTTTAAAATACCACATAAAGCCACAATTATGATATCTCAGCAGCTTCCTTCCAAAAGTGCCTCAGGGACGGTGCGTGCCAGGAAAAGACCAGACCTAGGATCAGCACAAAACCCTACGGCCACAACGCCGAGGGGTGCGGGCTTAGTTAGCAGCGCCCGCGGAGGCCCGGCCGCGCGTTACCTGGGAACGCAGCTCCTGGTTGCACCGCTCGGCGCCCTGGTACAGGCGCTCCGTGTGCTGCAGCACCTTCTCGATGTCGCGCACTTGGCGCCGGCAGCTGCGCAGCTCCTGCTCCAGCCGCTCTACCTTGCGCCGCAGCTGCACCAGCTCGGGCTCGCGGTCGGCGGAGACGACGGGGACGGGGACGGGGACGGAGAGCGGGGCGGAGGGGAAGGGGCCGCAGCGGCCATGGAGATGGGGCTCGGCGTCCGCCCGCGGCCTCGCCTCGACTCCGCCACAGCAGCGCCCCGGGACAGGAGGCCGGAGAGGCCGCGCTCAGGAGGCGGCCCGAGGGCTCAGCGGCAGCCGGAGGGCGCGGAACGCGCGGAGCCGCCTGACACTGACATGACGGCGGCTGCCGCCGGCCATGCCTCCCCGAACCGAGCCTCTCGCCGTGCCTGCGGGAACCACGGACGGAAGAATCGAGGCCGCACGGCACGGTCCAGGCCTCGGTCCCGGGCCGGCGCGGAGGAGCGGCGCTGGCCGCTGCCGTCGGGGCCGGACTCGAGGGCCAACTTCTGAACCACAACAACGAAAACTTTATTGGCAACAACTTTAATTTCTCCGGTTACCGACAGCGCGCGGTGAGGGCGGGAGGCGAGGAGAGGACGCACAAGGGCCGCGCGCCACCCGGATATGTTTCTGGATTGGAGCCGGAAGTGACGAGACGCCTTGGTCTCCGCTTGCGCTGGGAGAGTGGGGCAGTGGAGCCGATGCGCATGCGCTCTGCAGGCTGGAGGAACTAGCTGAGGCAATAGAGGCGTGGTTGTTCGGGATGTTGGAGTGGTCTTAGTGTTTATGCGAGTATGGAAAGGGGAACCTGATGGAGGGCGAGCTGATTCTAGTAGAAGTGGCTGGATGGTGTAGTAAGTTAGGAAGTCTTTAGTTCAAACCCAGCCGCAGAAACTTACTAGCTGGGTGACCCTAGGCAAGTCACTTTCCTCGTCTGTAAAATGAGGATAACAATAACACCTACCTCCCAGAATTGTTGTAAGGATAAAATGAGATATTATTTGTAAAATGCTTTTGCAAACCTTAAAGTGCTATATAAATTCTAGCTCTTATTTTTGTTTTGCATTTATCAGCTTTCAGGTTTTTACTCTTATAGCGATGAGAAGTCAGGTAGCCTGGGTTCTTCGTCTGGAATTTGCTAATTACTAGCCTTTCTGTACCTCAGCTTTTTCATCTGTAAAATGAGAATAATAAGAACACCCAAAGTATGTACCCGTCAGAGTAGTTTAAAGATTAGATGAGTTAACATGTAAAATACTTGATAACCTTAAAGTGTAATGCTAGCTATCATTGTCAGTGTTGTCTGTTATTCAGAGCCCTGGAGGAAGACTGCCTTCCCTACACTTTTTGCATATCCCTAAAAATCAGAACTCTCCTAATCTGTCCCTGTAAGAAGATACTCTTTCTCTCGGATTTGGAGGTTAGAAAGGGGTTAAGTATTCAAGAGAGACTGTGGTCTCAGCATATCACCTTCTCCTGACCATGCCATTTCAAAGCCATTCAGGCTACCCTGAGTAAAAACGTAAGAGTTGCTAGACTGGGACATTCTGGGACTTCCAGCTCAAGATGTCTGACAGTTAACTTCAAGAGATGTTTTAGTGAGAGAACATAATTTGTCTTTGGTGAGACCCACAAAGATTGGTAATAATGAATTCTGGTTATATTGTTGTACTGAGAAATCAGCCAGCGAGACCCAGACGTAATTTAAAATGTGGATTTAGCAAGGGGTATGCACACCAAATCAAGCAGCCCCTATCAGGGGTTGAGCTAGGGTTTATATGGAAAAGAGCATGGGAAAAAAATGCCAGGAACATTGATGAGGTAATCCAAAGGTGCAGGTGTCTTTGGGGGCTATGGATGGGAAAGTACAGGGAGTATACGGGACAGGGGGGGGATGGATCTTTGGAGTCTGGCAGGGGGAAGAGTCCTTGGGCTGGCCAAGGACACCCTTCTCCTTCTGTCTTGATGAAAGAATGCTCTGCAACAAGGGAAAACTTTCTCATAACACAGGAACTTGCTAAGGAATTGGGAGGCTTCTAGAGACATGATCTGAGGGCTGGGGCCTGAGCAGCCCAGCTCTGTGTAGCTGTACCAGGCAGAGAGATAAGGGTCATGCTGAGGCCCACGCATGAATAACTGCTAGGCACAGTGTCCTTGGGCTGGGGAGTGGTTGTCAGAGACAGTGTTTCTGAGACTAGGGAGAAATGGGGGCACAAGTACAAGCACAAGCACCCGAGCACCCCATCATTACTGGTCAGAGATCACACAAACCAGACCAGGTGTCCTGGTCTCTACCAAACATAATTATCTAAAGCAATTATATTGCAAGCTTTCTTATCCATTTGTGTTGGAGGTACAGGCTATGCTGAGCTATGCGAGAGTACATTTTACTATTGTTTAGATTTAGGAGGAAAGAGGTCTGGGGCAAGATTAAGCACCAGCTTTTGCTTTCCATGGCTTAAAGGGCCCTACTACCTAAATGGCAAAATAATGTTCTGCATTACAATATCACCTGTAAATTTAAATAAACTTTTTTTTTGACCCAGACCTGTAATTTCATGTGTGTAGGGAACTCCCAGTGAAGAAACTACCTTTTTACCAATGTGGATCTGAAACTGCTTTGTAGCTTGTCTTACAGAGTTGCTAGGGACATTGAGAGGTTGTGATTTTCTCCATTTTACACAGCCAGTATATATTAGAGAGAGGCACCAGTTGAATGAAGGCATATCTGACTCTGAGACCAACTCTATCCACTTTTTTTTTCTAACGAAAAGTGACTAGAACCTTTTGCTTTAAGTAGTACTTCCATTTATTTGTTTGTTTTAGTAAGCTTATCTCTTTAAAACATCATTGTTTAAAGGTAAAGAAGGCACATTCACACTCATCCAGTCTCTTATAGATAAGGAAACTGAAACCCAGAGAGGTAATACCATAGACTCGGATGCCATCTAGTCCAAATAGTACCTAAATAAGAATCCCCTTTACAAAATATTTGACAGGTATTCATTCAGTCTTTGCTTAAAGATCTCCAGTGAAGACATGCTGTCTTCTGAGGGAATCTCTTCCCCTTTTGGATTGTTCCAATTATTAGGAAGTTTTTCCTCATGCAGCACATATACTGTGTTAGGATAGCCTAGACTGGGGGAGAGGATGGATTTAGGGGAGCAGCTTCCCACGTGTGACATAGAATATAGTAAATGCATAGGGTTTGAAGAGCCAAGTAAATCAGGAGAGAACACAGAACAAGCACCTCTCCTCTTAGTCCCAGGTGTCAGTGTCTGTAGAGTAGTCATGTTCCTGGCCAGGTCAAGGTTTTAGATCATGCCTCTGCTTACTGACCACTGGCCGACTGCCATTAACACCAAACACTGACTAACTGTTCCGAAGGAGCAAGTTAAGGCCAAGGCCTCAGAGATAAGAGTACCCAGTGCTTCTGCCAGCATCCACATTCTTTTATCCATTTGGAGCACAAAGTCAGCAGGCTTCTCTCCTTTATGCTGAATAGCATGATTAATAAATTTAGGACATGCTTCCAGTAATGTCTTGCCATCCCCAAACTGTGTCTAAATGTTGCAAAAAAGCTTGCCTGTGCAAGTGGGAGTTGAGAAAGGAGAGCAAACCTGGTGGGGATATCACCTGACCACTGCCTCTTCAGCAACCGTCAACCATACTGAAGACCCAGAAAAGAAAGTTGTTGCTGACATTCTTGGCCTTGTCAAGTGATTCAACATCAGAAATGGATATGGTTTATTAATGGAAATAAAGTTAGCATTTCATAAGGCCCTACTATGTGTCAGACACTGTACTGGGGATACAGTGAGAGGCAAAAACAGTTCTTTTCTTAAAGGACTTTACAGTCAAATGGGAAAGACAACATGCAAACAGCTACATATAAAAAAGATAGATACAGAACATTAAGGAATACGCGTTACCCTCTGCTGTACACTAAGGATCATGGGGCCTTTCTATCTGCCTTGCAGCTTCCTATATGTGTTGTTTCCCCTTATTAGAATGTGAACTTCTTAAGAGCAGAGATTTTCTTATTTTTTTTATTTGCATCCTCAGCGCATAGTAAGTGCCTAATAAGTGATTTTTCATTCAGTCAGTCTGAGTAGATCTACCTTCTTAGAGTCTACTGTACCTCTTTTCAGTAGCCTGTGCAGTCTGTTTTTCTCCTTTATGCTAATTCATAAATCATAGAATCATAAATTTAGATATGCATCTTATAGTGTCTTGCAATCCCTAACTCCAGTCCTGAAACTATGCCTTTAAATTTTGCAGAGAAGCCTGCCTGTGCAAATGGGAGTTGGGGAAGGGAGTCCAAAGGAGTTACCACACAGGGATCTTATTTGGCATTAAATATTGGTTCCTCTCCAATTGTGGAGAGATTCTTCACTTAGGACTCTAGTTATTGGATACCCTCATTTTGGGGATCCACTAGAGAAAAATCAGCATTATTTTTTGGGGGGGGCTAGGCAATGGGGTTAAATGACTTGCCCAGGGTCACACAGCTAGTAAGTGTTAAGTGTCTGAGGCTGGATTTGAACTCGGGTCCTCCTGACTCCAGGGCTGGTGCTCTATCCACTGCGCCACCTAGATGCCCCTAAAAAAAAAAATCAGCATTTTTTTCCCTCTCTTTTGCTATACGTTATAATCATATGGTCAGATTTCCAGAGTCAAGCAAAACAAATTCCTCAATAGTTGTATATACATGAAGCTGGACACATGTATATGGATATTTGCATATCTGTCACAAGGAATTCATTTTTTCTTTTTCCTTTTTCAATGAGGTAGGATTTGGAAGACAGATAATAGATTTTTGTTCATTTGAAAAATACAGGTGTGGGAAGGTGCTATAGATGTGAAATGTTACGCTTTCAGAAGAGGTCAGTGTATTATTAGTTGTGCTTAATTGTTTCACTTTGTTACAAGAGACCTTTCACAGAGTGAGGATAATATAGAAATGTTTGTACTGTAAAAACAAAACTTATCAATAAAACTTTTTAAAAAAACTAAATGTATCACTAAGAGCTTAATGGGTTATAATTTTGAGTGGGTACTCTTTTATTTGGTGCCTGTGGTGACAATGTAGGTGCCAGTTTATGAGGGGCCTCTATCTATAACATAAATAAAATTTTAATTATGGCAATACTTGGATTTAATGTTTAAATATATATTTCTTGGCATATTAAGTTAATTTGTTTTTTGCAAAATATGTATGTTTTCTTCATTAGCATTTTGGTACATTTTGAGTTAAATCTC